CAAAACAGAGAGGGGCCCTGGTACCGCCCCCCACCAGAAAAAAAAAAAAAAAAACTATCTCAGTGAAGGTATTTACACCATGGAAATGGGGAGACGCTATATGTCAGCGCTTTCCCCCCAGAGATCCCGTTGTTAAACATTTACCAGCACATCAGCACAGGCCGGACCCCTCTTACCTGACCCCGGCTCTCTCTCCACAGTGAACGGGAAGGTCACAGTCACCATCGAGAGCTGCGCCCCGACGCTGTTCATGTTCATGCTCAACGGCAAGCAGGAGCATGGGCTACTGAGCCTCAGGAAGAACGGGATGAAGCTGGACGTGTACCCTCCAACCGTGGGCACCCACAAGCTGCAGATCTTCGCCAAGGGCAACTCGGAGATCTACAGCTCGGTGCTGGAGTACACACTCAAGTGCCACTACGCAGACATCGATGTCCGGCTGCCCGCGGAGCTGCACCAGCCCGTGGGGCCCAGCTGGTTCTCGGAGCAGATGGGCATCACGAAGCCGTCCCACCCCGAGCCCGTTATCTACACCAGCGACGGGCGCTGCTCTGTCAGCTTCAGTGTGGAGGAGGGCATCAGCGTCCTGGCATCGCTGCACGGGGACGATGGCCCCGTCACCGAGGAGACACAGCGGCGCTACATCTTCCAGCTGCAGCGGGAGAAGCGGACGGAGCTGAAAGTCCAGTTGCCCCACGCCGGCAAGTTCGCGCTCAAGATCTTCGTCAAGAAGAGGCAGGAACCGGGCAACTACGTCTTCGTCTTCAATTACCTCCTGTGCTGCACCAACAGCAAGGTGAACTGGCCCGTGTTCCCCGAGAGCTTTGGCAACTGGGGGCAGGACAATGAGCTACTGGAGCCCCTTTCGGGCGTGCTGCCCGCCAACCACAACGTCCCGTTCAAACTGAAGCTGCACGGTGTCGCCAAAGCCCTGGTGAAGGGGCAGGACATGTGGCCCCTGACCCTGAACCACGAGGGTTACTGGGAGGGCAGCTGCAACACAGCCGGCTGCCAGGAGGTCTACGTCATGGTGCTGGAGAATGCCAACCACAACTTCTACTCCTACATCCTGAAATACAAGGTGAATGCCCAGTGAGGGCCGGGGCCCCGCACCCCTGCTCTGGGCAGTGCAGAGAGCCCCAGGCACCCCTGAGTCTGCATGGAATCCCTTCTAGGCCTCTGCCTCAGTCTCGCTGCTCTGCCGCGGGAGCTGTGACGCTTGTGTTCTGGTGGCCGAGGGGACAGAGGCAAAGGCCCTTTAGAAGACAAAGGTGCTATGTAAATCTAAAGTATTGTAAACTGTACACCACTGCCCAGACGCCCCCTCCTCATGCTGATGCTGTCGTTGTTGTTATCTGGCTGGTGCGGGAAAGCAGGGATGCTGCCCGGGCCGAAAGCTTTTCCCATGATGGAGAGAGAGAAGAGGGCATACTCTACGAGGCTGAGTCATCCTGAATCCTAGAGCCCCTTTCAAGGAGCATCACAGTGTTTCTCACCAACTCCTGGACCCCAGGGGAGGCTGGACTGTCATCTTTTTCCCAGACCTGACCGCCTTCCACATTCCCGATGCCACTTGTTGTTCCAGGGTCCGAGAAGGAAGGTGTGGAGAGGAAACTAACTGCCCCCCAGCTGACTGGGGGCTGAGGGCCTCCACAATCCCTGTGTGTGCTGGGAATATGGCAACAGAAAAGTTATGGGAGACTCCAAGGCCAAGAGCAGCCAGTGCCCGCTCTTTGTGTCCTGGGTAGGGGCCAGGAGGTGCAGGGATACATGGCAGCCCTGCCACCTGAGTCTAAGGATGTAATACCTCCGACTCTGCTCTCAGAGGGAGTAATTCAGTCCACTCTGTCTCAGAACAATTCACTCGGCCCCTCCAGGCCCTCTCAGGCCCGCCCCGCCCCCGGACTTCACAGGAAGTCCCAGGAGGCTGCTGGGCCCTTGGGGAGCCCTGGAGATAACCCTAAATAAAGACTTTGGGTGAAGTAATGAGAATGCCGCAGTGCCAAGGGGCCCCCACGATAACAGGGCCCTGCCAGCCCCAAGATCCCTACCACCAAAGCCACACCTGGGGGGACCTCGACCAGAAACTGGGAACAGTTTCTGTGCTGATCGCTATCCTATGCTCCTTTCTCAGACAAGAGAGACCCCCAGGGCCTGCCTTCCGTAGCGACAGTCCAGAGCCCCTTACTTGCTCAGGCCTGAGAAGCATGGCTGCCCAGCCGGCCCTTAGCAGCACCTTGGGCCAACGTTGCCATGGCAACAGCAGAAAGGCTGGCTCCAGCAAGGGCAGCAGGAAGGGAAGGATGGAGAGGCCCCAAGAGGCCCTGCGTGGCCACTGCAGCACCATCCCAGCACATGGAGACACTGGAGGTGGTTCCGCCTGCCCTCCTGGCTTCTCCAACTCTGCAGCCCCTGCCTATCAGTGCCCCAGCCCCTGACAGCCAGCACTGCCCAGCACTCTGCTTCCCACACTGTCGCTGCAAATGCCCGGGCTCAGCTACAGCCAGGGCCCTGGGGATCCTCACAGCCTCCTGAGCCTTCATCCTCACATTTGTATATTCAACAAATGTTCGTGGAGCACTTAATAAGCACCAGGTATGGCATCAGTTGACCTTTCATGCTGGGGCTACAGAGGGAACCAAGGGGCCCTGCCCTTGCCATCCCAGAGCTCAGGGTGGGTGGCAGCAACCTCTCTTGCCCAGGCCTGTTTCAAGTTCCAGGCTCCTAACACTTCAGTCTGTCATCCCCCTAGGATCTCTCCCCCGAAAACCCCCACTGTCACCCAGAATGGGCCCGGTCCAGAGAGATGTTACTATGGGGTGCCCATCCTCCACCAGGCGGGGGGCCCTGGAACTCAAGGGCAGTACACCGTGGGGGGCCAAGCTGCCCTGGCCTGTGTCCAGCTGCCCTCTGATAGGCTCTGCCACCCAGGCATTCAGCACCGTGTCACTCATGCCTGGAAAATGCACAAAGGCCGCAGACACAGAACCGCTGTTCACCGCAACAGGGAAACAAGGGCAGTTTCTACACCCTGAAAACAGCCTTTTCTCACCCCTTTGATTTTATGGGCTGAAAGAAATGTGCTGTTTCATCAAAATAATAAGTGCCTTCTATGACTCATGTCACTCCCTGGACCCAGAGCTGGCTGCTAGTCCTGCCGGGAACAGCATGCATCCTTTACAAAACAATACAATTAATCTATACATTCTAGAGCACACAAAGGATGCCACCCAGAAAAATAGGAGTTGTCCCTAGACGGAGATGGAGACGGAGGCCCAGCCTCTCAAAGCGCTGGGGAGCATCAGCAGCCCCCCGTGCTCATTTCAACAGGCGCCCCCGCCCCTTGTAAAGACAGCTGTAGGCAGTCAGACGACACGTGCATTTCTTCCCACTAAAGTAAAAATACATGAAATGAAATCCAATCTTCATGAATTTTTACACGCACGCTGCTCAGGGTAGAATTCGGGGTTGCATTTCGAAGTCTTTTATTCAAATCCTTATCTTTGTTTCCCGGTCGAGGCGTTCCAGCGGCCAGCGGAATGACGCGGGCTCCCCCTGGTGCCCGATGTGCGGAGCTGCGGGCGCTGCAAATCGCCTTGAGGCTGAATCTATCACGGGGTTTTTACACAGAATTTGAAAAATGCAGCTGAGATGTTTATGTTAAATTCACTGAGTGCTTTCTCGTGGCTTCTCAGCGCTTCCTCGTGTATACATGGAGCACGTCGTTGCCACGCACAAGTTGTGAGGCGAGACTGGGGCCCTTTCTGGCATGGTGAAATGACGTGAATGTAATAGGATTGGGGCGTATTTTGCCCGGAAATCCCTTCCCGTAGGAGTGGATGGAACAGTTTGACCACACTCATTCCTGCGCCAGTGAAGGACTGGAACTGATCGAACTCAGAGAGCTTTTGCTGCAAGTCCCCAGAAGGGCATGGAGGATCGTGGAGGGTGGGGGGAGTAGGATGGGGCAAATGGGGTACAAACACAACCGCAATTAACTTCTTTTCAGCTTGTTTCGGAAGCGCCACCAGCACAGCTGGACTCCGTTTTCAATCTGATTGTGATCATTGTGTGTTCCCCATATGTTACATTGTCCCACCAGGGCAAACCCCTCACAGCCTGCTGAGATTAAAAGGAAATAAATAGATTAACTGAAGCATGAAAGATTTAGGCTAGACATAACAAAGTATTTCCTGTTGTTAAGCAGGAGGGACAAGTTGCCAAGAAAGTTTGTGAAATCCTCTTCTTATAGGATGGGAAAAATAGAAAAGTTTTCCCAGTGGTCTGGGGTCTTTGATGCCACACTAACCGGAAGGACTAGGTTCTTTCCAAACCAGTTTAATTATTGAAATACGCTCGATCACCCACAGCAAACAGGGGACCAGAATGGTATGGTCACGTCCTTTGCTGTTGGCTAAGCATTCAGAGGTTGTCTGCATCTGTGTCCCCTGTCAGTTTATCTGAGGTCGATCATTTCTTTTCATTTGGATGAGCTCTGAAGAGGTGATTAGTTTTCATAACGTGTGCATTGAGTTGTGTGGGCTACTGGCTGTTGAGTATGCTTTCCCCACATTGTTGCTCGTGTTGTTTTTCAATAAAATTTATATTCATTTTTATCCAACAATGTAATTATCGATCCATTCTTATCACTGTTCTCACAAGGTGGGTAAAGAACAGGAAAAAACACTTTCATGTTCAAAGGGAACGCTAGGAAAAAAAATCAATGTCCCAGATATTTGAATGTGATGGTGAGATGCAAATAGAATGTCAGGCAAATAGCTACTTCACATTAAAGGAAACATAATTAGGTTAGCTCCAGCCCCTCTCTGGCTCACGTGCCTTTGAAGAACATAAAGGCAGTGTTCGTTTCATTGAATCTTGTTTAACTTGAAATTTTTTAATTCAATCGTAACTTCTGTTTTTAGTGGGAGAAAAAAAAAAATGTTCCAAAAATGCCTATCAGCCTACTTTTTGTTGTCGTTGTGAATATATATTCCTTGATATACGTATACATGCAGAAACTTTCCAGCAGGTTATCTAAACAGATTATTCATAAATTAGACATTTAGGGAAATATAGAAAATGAAAATCTAGACACCTCTAAGAAGCTGCCGTAACCATGGAGACCATTCTCATAGCTGTCATGTGAAGGACAAAAAGAATTCGTGTTCCCAAATCTGGCCTTGTCACGCCCCTCACTGCTAGACCCACAAACACAAGCCCCAGCACGCTTCTCCTTACGAAAGAGGCCCACGGGTGATCTTTAACAGCATGATAAGGGAAAGTCAGAAGACACACTTTCCGCATAATAGAAGGGGGGGACTCTCAAATTCTTAGACCAGTTTGAAAATGCCAGCCCCGAGGCTTCAGTGGATGACCTCTAAAATCCCTTCCAGTCCAGAGAGTTTGTGATGCTGTGTCTCCATGAACAGATGCTGGCAGGCGGTAGGCCTGGGATTGTCAGTGACGGAACATCTGAAGGGCCCTGCTGGGTTAAGAGCCTGCCCTGCAGCCCCCAGCAGACTGCGATGCTGGCTCCTCTCTTGCCTGCGGGACCAAAGGGGAAGCAACAGCCCCTGACAGGATCTCTGATTTTGTGAGCAGAACTAAAGAAAACTAAAAGTCAGGCGGCAACTGGGATGCCGTCTCTTGGAATGTCCCACCCACATCCCTGAGTCAAAAGATACTGAACCAAAGTCACTTCTCTCCCCCAGATTATCTCCACCTCCTCCTGGGCCCCCAACAAATGCATCCCCATCCCCTAAGTCAAACTCATGGTGGCCACTAGTAACCCCAGCATCCCCTTCAGTGAGGAAATCTGGTCCATTCTGCCGTGTTCCATATTGGGAACAGTCCAATGCCGTGAGCAGCCTTTGCCATAATTCAGGCCCTCCTCGTCTCCCGGTGACACTGTGTGCTTTCTTCCTCTGATGACATGAACCTCCACCTGCCCTGTCACTCTCCATGCTTCCTCTTACTTGAGCACCAGTGTGTTGGTTAAGGCAAGGTGTCCATGAAAACCTTCCAGAAGTTCGCCACCTCTGGAGAAGGCATAATTTGGTCAGGTGTTGGTGGAAAATGTAGGTCTTCGAACAAAACCTGGTTTTAATAGGGAGGCAGGTAAAATGCCAGAGTCTCCTCCTTTCCCTGCACTCTGAAGAGGCAAGGTGCTGAGGACGTCTCTAGGGGACGGTGTGGAGAACAGCTCTTAGCACCACAGCCAGGGGACACCTCTGACAGGTGCAGCAGTGGTGGCTGCAGGTGGTCACCCTGCTGGTAAGGGTGATGGCAGAGGATGGTCAGGGACCCTCTGGCCATGAATAGTCTTATGGAGTTGCCTTTCCTTCATCTAACAACGTTTCCTGCCCCAGCTTCTCCCCCAGGGCCCAGTCTGAAGGAGGCTCTATGACCTAAGCTTGGTGCTTCCATTCAGGAACAAAAATACCCTTGGAGGCAC